GTTTATCTTCATTTACAGCTACTGTGGGGAGGCACCAGCATGTAAATTCATCAGCCCAGGGGCAACAGCTGAAATAATTCTGGAGTCATAGTTTGCTACAGGGAAGGGAGAAACTTTCTCCTCACCTCTGCCAACTCATCTCATCATGTACCAGGTGTTGCTTGTGGAGCCACCTAAAGATTTTTAGTTAAGGAGTGCTGGTCACTGTAGGCAATGCCATCCCCTGCTGCTGTGACTAGTGCTAAGCTGAAATAGTAACAATACAGAAAGAAGTATTTAAATGCAACCAAATCTTTAGACTCCTGGAGTGCAAGGTGTCCCTCCTAGCACAGGGCACGTGAGAGAATCATTGGTCTGCATACAGCATGTCTTAAAGAGAACTTAAATTACTTCCTTTTTTACTTCTCACAAGACTTTTTTTTTTTTTTTTTTCAATGTGAAGAGCAGAGTTTCCTTATTCAAACTTACCCAGTGGTTAGTGGGCATCTGAGATTTGCCCCGAGAGCTAATTCTCATCTTGCCTTGCAAGTGAGGCACTCTTGATTATCAAAAGGGAGTACCACATTTCTGTGGATGCCTACCTGTGCGACCTGGTGTAGGGAACTTGCTTTGGCAGGGGGGTTGGACTCGATGATCTCTGGAGGTCCCTTCCAACCCCTACAATTCTGTGATCCTGTGATTCACGAACAAAAGGCAAACAGAAAGCACAGAAACCTTAGCAGAAGCTCAAGGGTCCGCTGAATGTGCCATCATTGTCTCTCTGAGGAGACATGATGGAGCAACATGTCTAGAATCATGAACCTAAGCTCTTTATTACATTCACCTTGTTTAATATACCTGCATGGCGGCAAAAGGGAAATCTGACACAGATATGAGAGATGATAATTAGTTATAAACACATTTTTATTATTTGTTCTCGATTTTGCTTCTTTGCTCACAAATGTTGACTGAGCAATCCCTGTGATCTACAGAAAATGATGAGTAGAAATTTTACAGATAAGTTTTGTTACCATTAAGAAAGGTATTCTTTATTGGCAGCACTGGCGTGGTATTGAGATAACTGTCCAAGAACGCTCTACGAGTTGATCATTAGTAAGCAGGCTATATTTTTACATGTATTACATATTCATTACATTTTCAAATTCATTAACCTGTCCACCCCCAGTGACTGCCTAACAGACATAGCCTTGTTTGGCAATCTTTGATGTCACCTAGTGTCATCTAGCACGGTGATGGTCCATTGTTAATCCTCAGGGGTCGTTTACTTCCTCTCAGCACTCCTTCTGTCCCAAAGATTGCTGTGGAATTCAAGGACAATAGGAGAAGTCTCTGCACACACAGATAGGAAGACAAAGGGGAACATCTGTCACAATTTATTTGTTCTGTTGTTTCTTTTGACCTGTTAAAACAGACCAGCCTTACAACATGTAAGGTGGTATCTACAATACCACATCACAGTTATCATCCACAATATCTAAGGACTAGTATAGTGTTGCAAGCAAGCATAAACAGAATATTTTGTGTAATTACTTCTTCAAATCACCTGCTATTATGAGGAGGCACATAACTACTTTATACACAGATAACCAGCTCAGGCATAGTGACTGTGTTTTCTTTCTGCTTCCAGACAGCAGGAGGGGAGCAGTTAATGATGCTAAGCTTGGTTACAATTTTCTGTCATTGCTATCAAACCCTGTAATTCCTTATTTCTGTTTTTTGCTGAATCTCCTACCCAGCAGTACTTGCTTAGTAGAAACTCTCTGGATATTTTAGTTTCAGGTTTCATCTGGTTCATTGTCCCTAACAGGACATCAGTTTGTGTTGGGTCAAAAGCACCTTATCTGCTACTTCATAAAATTTCTTATTCAGAGCAAAATAGGAGGGGGAGGAAGATATATCAATAAGATAAAAGTAAACACTTAATGCCACTACAGTTCGATTTTTTTTCTTTCCTGTCATCATATTTTTGACAGTGTTTCACACCTCAGGATACCACAAAGGGTTGTTTTTTCAGACAGGAAGGAATAAACTTCAGAATTTTAACGGCAAAAAGACTCAATGCATTTGTTGACCAACTCGGAAATGGCTGCAAGCATTCCACATGGTGAGCTTGTCCTCGTGCTGTTCTTCCTACTTTTTTTTTTCTCCCCATAAAATCTAGTTGATAAAATACATATATCTACTGTTGATACATCCTATTTTGGAATCCTCCATTGGTGGGAGCAGCAGATGCTCTACCCATTCTTTGTCTCCTCCTTAGCCCCATTTTATATTATTTTTAAATGAATGTTTCCACAGAAAGTGAATTAGTGAACATATTCTTCAATGTGTAGCACTGAGATAAGTATTTCCAATATGATGTGTAAACAAAATACAAGCAACTCTATAAAACAGCCTGAGTTTACAAATAAAGTATATTTGAGCATCAGGCATCAGATTTTTTTTCACCTTTTTCTCTCTGTAACAACATTTCTGAGTTTAGAAGGGGTTTTCCCAGTGGAGGCAGAGACCTGAGGAATCATTACAAATATTTCGTTTAAAAATATATCGTGGACATCTACTGCCTTGGAAGGAACACATTCACGAGACTGTCAAAGCAGACAACAGAAGCTGAAGAAAAAAGTCCCCCACATTCAGGTCTGCCGGGTGCTCGGTTTGTGAGATGAGATCACCTGTGAGGCAGCCCTGCCCTGAGGGGCGGCAACAGCCGGGAATGGGGGTTGAAGTCACTTGATTGCTTGAGGTGGCAAACAACAGTTACAGAGCAACTATCTCTCCCTGCTGAAGATGAAGTTACACTTCCTAACGATAGTGTGATGGGAACAGGGAAGAAAACAGCATATCCTGAGAGAGGAGCTGAGAATGAGAGGAGTAAATGCTATAGTAGTGCTCTTGTTGTAGAGTTCATAGAATCATAGAATGGTCTGGGTTGAAAATGACCACAATGATCTAATATGTTCAACCTGCCTGCCCTCTGCAGGGACACCAACCACCAGACCGGCTGCCCAGAGCCACATCCAGCCTGGCCTTGAATGCCTCCAGCGATGGGGCATCCACAACCTCTTTGGGCAACCAGTTCCAGTGCGTCACCACCCTCTGGGTGAAAAACTTCCTCCTAATATGTAACCTAAACCTCCCCTGTCTCAGTTTAAGACCATTTCCTCTTGTACTATCATTATCCACCCATGTCAACAGCCTTACCACCTCCTGTGTATATGCTGCCTTCAGGTATTGGAAGATGGTAAGGGAGAAAGAAACTCAACAGGAAGGAAGGAGAAGAAGGGTAGAGAGAGGAAAAACTAGGCATTCATGTGAAAATCTAGTTGCTAATTTAAGGTTTCCCTTCATGTTAGATTTTAGGACTTGGCTATCTGAAGTCTAACTTGCTATTGTTACTGCACCTTGAACTGGTGGAACAGAGGAAAAGAAGAATTGCAGTAGCGGGAATGACAAATCAAGGAAGAGTGCTGACTTAGGGTTAGGGTAGGGTTCTATCCCTGGGATAGGGATTCTTCTATCCTTAGGGATAGGGTTCTATCCCTGACTTAGGGATAGAATGTGAGGCACACCGAGTAAAAGCATCTCCTTCAGAAAATCTGCACTGTTCTGGCTGGATGAGTTTGGTGTGGGGGATGTAAGAACATCTGGAGAGGAAAAAAAAAAAAGTGGTGACGAAACTTCATTGCTGCCATCCAGTATTTAAAAGGAGAGAATAAAAATGAGGGAAATATTTTTATATGGGTGAGCAGAGACAAAACAAAGGGGAACAGCTTTAAGCTCAAGGGGATGTGTAGGTTGGCTTCCAGAGGTAAGAATCCTATGGAGAGAGTGGTGAAGTGTGGGAATATGCTGCCCAGTGAGGGTGTGAATAGTCTGATCTGTGAAGGTGTTCAAGGACAGATTGGATGGGAGCCCTGGGCAGCCTGGTCTAGTACAAGACCCGAAGCTTGATGGCTTTATCTGTGTTGGGGGATTAGAATTCTATGATCCATAGGGAATCTTCCCAAAGCTGTTAAATGGTTCATGGGAGGGTGGTTCTGTGCGAAGTACCTTTGGGCCATTCTGTTGCAACCCCTCCCTGGCCCGGTAGAGGGTGCAGGTTCTGGTACTGCTTGTGGCTGGGGCAACCTCCCTGCTGTGTGGGTGGAGGTTTCTCTGTGGGCTCCTGAAGATACGGTGGATTATTGTGCTGCAGCTGGGCAGGCCAGCCTGTACGCCTGTACGTTGGGCATTGGTGGGAGCTGCATGCTCCGTGGGGCTTTCTGGAGATGCTGAGACATGGGGTACCGTCCTGTAGGCAGGGCTGTGTGTACCCATTGTGCGTGGTGAGATGTGTTCTCAGGGACCCCCAGTACTCAGGTGGGTATTTCTGGCCTGGCCTTCTAGAGGTGTGGTGCCAAGAGACGTGGGGCTGGAATCCCGAGCTCGGCTTTTGGCCATGCTGCCCCACTGTCTGGCTGCTGAATGCTGTTCCTGCCACTGAGGGGGAAACTGACCTCTGTGGCTCCTGGGTGTCATTGCCTTGCTGTAATCAGGGTCCAGGGGTGGGAGCCTTTGTGCTCCACTGGCAGCCTGCATGGAGTGACTGCTTTGTTAGAGGGGTGCAGGTCAAGATGCCCCTGACTGGAAGAGAGGGAGCCTCCCTTGGTCTTTGGGACCTGGGCTGCCCTGTAAGGGTGCTGTGATGCCCTGGAGTCCCAGGCCCTTTGCGATGGACATGACGGCTTGGAGCCGGCCCTTGGCTCGCTGCTTTGCATGCCCAGCCTTATTTGCCCAGCGTGCCCGTCTCTGTGGCCTGCTGCATTGCTGTTGGGAACCCTGTGGGGTGTCAGAGTGGTGAGAAAAGCTGCTTTTCAACTGTTTCTGCTGGGTCGGCTTGGGGGTGGGGCATGCAAGGTCTTCCTTGGCCGGGTGGTCATGTGCAGAGCTCCCTTGGGCTGCTGTGTAGCCTGTTTTGTTTGGGTGGGGCAGCTGGTGCTCCTTTGGGCCTAATGGCTTTTTCCTTCATTTGCAGGAGCTGCTGCAGGAGGAAGAAGGCAAAGTGGTGTGTGGAACTGGGAGGAAGGAGACAGCAAGAAGAGGGGCCATGAATTGGCTTTTTTGTTGGTTTACTTGCCCGTTACACAAACCAGGACGACAAGAAAAACAAGTAATATTTGTTCTCTTCCTATAGATTTTCATTACTTTTGGTGATAAAGGTTTCTTTGTGTTTTGTTCTTCATATGGTGCCTATTTGTTTTGCTTTTTTAGTCCTTTTTTCATTTCATGAATCCTTAGGTATTCTTTAGCATAGCTTTCATCCCCAGTACATTTGGTTGGCTGCTTTTTTATGGAGTGGAGAAAGGTACTTGTAACCTTTGCATCGTCTGAATCTCTTGGTAACTTATTTGTGTGGAAGCACTAGCAGCTGCGGTACTATTTATTACTTGTCCAACTCCCTTTCCTGTTTAAGGCAGGCCTATTTGCAGGTTCTGTTTGTGCAATATAATGTCCGTGTTCTAGCAGTATTTGTGCTGGGCATGTTTTTTTCTGGGCTGTTGCAGGGATATTATTAGCCTGTTGGTGGATGTTTCTTTGCATCGATGATTTGAATGAGAAGCTCTCATGGAGTTGTGTAGATGTTTAGTCCTAGCTAACTGTTTATGAGGTTATATTTGCTAGCGGTTTGTCCTGTGGATTCCTTTTGTAAAACTGAATCTTTTGTGTATTCCAGGGGAAATTGAGTTCTCATTTGCATGTCTGGTGTTTTTTGTTTCTCAGTGTTATGGTTATAGGTGGCAATTATCTGGCTCAGCACCATGCTTTTTGTTCTGTTTCCTGTAGGATGGGAGTGAAAATAGTTGACAGGGATAGTGGCAAATGAATTAGATCTATTGAATTGAGATAAATGTATCAGCTATGTCTGTGGATAGGAGGAAGGTAAAAAAGAATATTTGTTATTATGTCCATGTGTGTATATATGTATATAACCAGATGCTTTCTAATTGTTTGCCACTAATTGGCTGACTCCCAGCTTGTTCCCCAGGAGCAGAAGGAAGCCCATTGAAATACCATGCCTTTGAAAACTTCCTATGTATTTTCTCCTTAGCCAGTGGTGATATAGAGAAGTTTAATTATTTTTAAATTGTCCTCTGATGCTGTGCTGGATAAGGAAAACCAGTTATATTAGGGAATGTTTTTAGGTGCTGTATCTTGACCATCTGTGCCACTCGTGTCTTGTGTTGGGTCTTACCGACTTTAGGCTTATGGCAGTGACTCCTTCCTGCTCCCTGACTCTTCCATGTACCCAACAATTTGACCTATTTGGGGCATTGACAACAATAGATTATTTCCAAAGGTTAGCTGTGATTTGAACTTCTTGTGGCTGAATAACTTCGCTGTGTGGCTGCAAGCTGTTCTTTGTCAGTTGTGAACAGCAGCAGACAATAATGTTGAGTATATTTTATTTACAAAAGAGTGGTGATGATTGGGCTTCTTTGTAAATTTCAGCCACAAGTACTTTGTTTCATGTGTTGTTAAGTGTCTCCCTAACTTTGAGTCATCAACAGATGGAAGGTAGTGACTGGGTGCATCTGGATCAGATATGCAGTATTTTGCATTTTCCAAGCTCGTTGCAAAATTTTATCATATAAACCTTCATTATTATTATTATTAGTAACACACTTGCAAAAGAATTTATTTTCACAGATTATTAGTAAATTTGTTGATACTTAACACTTCTAATCTCGCTATGATTCTTTCTTACATCTGACAAGGTTAGCTCTTCTGCAAGTGACCTTATTAGTTTTGTCTATTTTTGGCAAGTGCCTGGCCTTGTTCTTGGCTGTGGAACAAGCTGAGCGACACTTGTGGAATATTTAATGTTTTGGTATTTAAGGGCACAACTAATGCAAATATTGTAGCATGGAGGTAACATCTGTGTTTTACAGGAGGCAAATCCTGACATATATTAAATATAGTATAGCTTTCTGTTGAAGTTTACCTGCCCAATGTCTAAAGAAAAACAAATGGAAAAAAGAATTAGGGGACACTTGCTTGCAATATCTGAATAGGTTTATGAATAGTTGAACCAAAATGTGTTACTTGTGTATCTAAACAATATAAGCTAATCTGGGTAATCATTTAATGCCAGTGGTTTTTAATTTGTAAGATTTTTTTTTTTTACAAACAGCTATGTTGAATGAACACAGGAGCAGATGAATGAGCTCATATGAATAGTACCTGCAGCCTATACAGTTTCATTACTATGTCGTCAGTACTTTTAATTGCAGCACAGAAAAACAGCATGATGTAACAGTGCAACAATGCATCTGCAGGGGAGCTTTGTTTTTTTTAACTCAGACAGTTAGTAATTGATATTTAACATGGAGCATGAAGGTTTGAATTTCCCAGACATCTTAAGCTGATTCCTTGGCTTTGATTTTTCTTTTTATTCTTACAATAGCATTTGATATCCTATTGTACCTTGAAGTCAGATTAATTCTACTGCATTTAAGTACATGCTTTTCACCACTTCTGAATGTGGGGTCAGGCAATTGTGTTGAGGGCAAGGCTCTGAGGAAGGGTAAGCAGGAATGCTATGATGACCTTCATACGTTCATGTGTTCTCTAAAGCATGTCACTTCCTATTTGTCTCACTCACATTGCTCAGACATGGCATCTTCCAGCCATAGCATGAGAGAATGCAGATGGCAAGGGTATTGGCTTTGATTACTGTTCCAGTTGCGGAAATACACTGTTTACAACTGTGCTTGAGCAGCTGCAGAATATAGGGTGATTTAGCAGTTTTCAGCTCCTTATTGTAAATTATTTTCATGTTCACCATAAAGTGTGTATGTTGATCTGTCCATTGGTATGGGGAAAAGCTAATGAGTGCTCTATCTGGGGATGTCTTTTTAGGCAGACAGAGTTTGCACAGCCATTGTAGCTAAAGGTAACATTTAGTTCTTGTACTGCCTGCGTGTCCCAAGTACATTTTCCAAGTGTCAGTCTCAATCTCTGTTTCGTTGCCCTTCCTTCTCTCTGGTGCATGTAGCTGACACTGTGAAACGGATTTTTCTTCCATTTGAATTTCACTGATTTCTTCAAGCCTGTTTGCCTGGGGGCAGAACAACAGAATATTTTCCAGTCTTTTCCATTTTGCTCTTACATACAGCGCTCAAGACTACACTATATGTGGTCTGTACTTACAGATGATCAAAAGTACTCCCTGTTATGGCTAGCTCTTCTTTTTATATTATTTTCCTTAAGTATTTTTTATTTAAACATTACTGCTGTGTTTCCTGTGCCAATTCAATCCTTTCAGCTTTGTGTCCTGAGCCACTGCTAAGTCATCTTGCTTACTGAGAGTACAGGGGCAGGCTATGCTATCCAGGAGCTTCCCTCAATCCAGTTGTATTGAGTGGGGGCATGATGAGCTCATCCTACCAAAATGATATTGTGCTGCTACAAGGGCTCTAGTGAGCAAAGTTACCAAAAAAAATTCTATCTGGTTGTTACCTTAGTTTATGTTAGACATAAAAGGGCAGAAGCATTGCTGCTGGCTTTGGATGAAGCCAGGTGAAGCTGGGTTCTTCATGTGTACTTGTGCTTTTGCAGAGCCTTGACTTCTGAAGCTCCGTAATGTGGACAAAGATTTCAAATAAAATTCAGCAACAGGACAGACACTGTTATGGCAGAGGTGAGTGCTAGATTCAGAACTGCAATCTGAACTTCTCTCTCCTTCCCCCACCCAAATGGTACTGCCCAGTCTCAAAGCAATAAGCATGAGTTTATTTTGTTATTAGTCCATGTTTTTCTAGTCCCTATAATTCTCCCTTTTTATGTGACTAGATTGTACTAACCGTAGATGAGTAGTTTAGGGCCTAGACTGGACTGGTGCCCGACAAGGATCTATCAGGAGAGATCTTTTCAGATCATCCCTAAGATACAGCAGAGATCTTGGCCTACTTTAAAAAGCACAGTTACCAACAATTGCTTTCCGTTGAGAACATGACTAGAGGGAAAATAGGTCTCCTTTTTAGAAACTAGCCTGCTAGTCAAATGTTTTCTAAGGGAATGGGAGAATCAGCTCCTCTGAGGGTGCATTGTTTTAGAAAAGCATCCATGGTACTGTGCTACAAGTGTTTTAAAATAAGAAAAGCACTTCCTTGCTTTGTAATTGTGTATCACAGTGCAAAGAAGGTGTCAAGATTAATTGAGCTGAAGAAAGAGTGTTTACTAAAGAACATGGTAGCCAGAACATGTACTGGTCCTTGTTTTTATATGTGTTTATTCTGCCTAAGACAGGGACCTCATGGAGGGAGAATGTCTATAGACTATTTAATCAAGCAGAGGAAGTGGATGATGGCTGTAAGCAGAGAATTGGACTTCAAAGTTAATGTTGAATAGCAAAGAACCATTGAAAGTAGAGTTGGGAAGTAATTTTGGCTTCTGGTGCCATTCTTACACCTAATTCCGACTAAATTGATATTTTATTTCTTTTGATTCTGTCTCTTGTCCTGAGACATGAGTGAGATGGAAAAGAAGGTGCAGTTGAATTATTTTTTTTATTATTATTTATTATTATTTAATTTATTTTTATTTTATTATTATTATTTAAGTTTATTATTATTTATTATTATTATTTAATTTATTATTATTATTTAAGTACTTTGTTAATAACTTAGAGAATACTTGATCTGTGATAATTTTAGTGCTCTAGGGATCATCAGTGCTATGTTTTTGCTGAGCTGAAGCCTGTTATTTTATGGGCCTTCAAGGTGTCAGGTGCTTCAGGACTTCTGTTTCAGGCGTTAATTTTCAGTGAATCCTTATGCTAATTATAGGGCAGCCACAAAACATTTCTCTGTGCTCTGCATTAAATATTGTGTAAAATCTTGGTTCTCTCTGTAGTAACACAGCTACCAGGGGACTCTGGACATGTCAGACCTGTGAACAAGGAGCCTGCGGAAAATCTTGCCCTGGGTTTCAGCTGATGTTACTGCGTCAGCCTGAATCACTGCAGGAAGGATGGAGCAGCGATGCTTTTCTGTTTCTCAGCACCATCTCTTACATTAGTCTGGTTTATGTAACATGCTATGTTGCATAGTTTCATTTCAATCTCTGCAGTGTTATACTGTTGGCATGTTACTATTGCTATTCGCTTAAAAATAGAGAAGGTATAACAGGGAATGCATGCTACAGCGAGGGTGACAGATGGAATTCTTCCACTTATGTAAAAAAATGCAATGTAATGAATATTTATGCAATTACTTTTTTACTGTGTAGCAATGCAATGTATGGGTCTTTTTCCCTGATTGTAGACCTTGCAATGCTACAGCCTTCTGGAGATTCTCATATAAATCAGATGCTGAGGAAGAATCTGCTTTCTTCTCATTAGGAAGCAGGAAAAAAAAGATGCACCTTCTTTCAGAAAGTAGAAAAAAAAAAATCCCATGGATATTTAATTATAAAAAACTTTTTTTATCACAAAAAAGTGATGTCATAAAATCAAATATTCTAGCAAGGAAATATAGCATGCTTTGCATGTTCATATTGTTCTACCCTGAATTAGTTCTTTTTCGGGAGAGACCTTCCAGATAGTTGAAAGTTTTATGTTTAGCCCTTCTGCATGTCTTTGTAGCTATTTTCCATACTAATTTACAAAACCTGTGAAAGAACCTGTAAAATTTCTCTCTTTTAGATCTTTGGGACGCTAAAAAAAAAAAAAAGTACCCATAAAAAAGTATTTTCAGAAGAAAGCAGTTCCTAAATGATTGATCCTAAACAAATTCAGTAATTGGGAATACAGAAGTTCATACCTTACCTTCCCAAATATCTAACTATGGCTCAGGAGCACTCTCAGGAAAGCAGAACTCCAAATGCTTTGTCAGCTGAATACTTCTTGCTGCCTTGTACTGTCTGTGAATCCACAACCAAAGGGATTGTTTGTAAGCAGATGTGGCAAGTTCTTAATAAACCCTTGAACCTTGAGCTTCTAACTAAGTGTAATAGTAGTGACCTGTTATTTTTAAAAGTTGAGCTGCTCAATTTAAAAATCTAAGATTATTTAATCTACCATCATCTCCAGCAATATCAATGGACTTTTCAGGTCATTGCACTAGATTTGCTAAAGAGAGAAGAGCTGAAATGAGCATGTTCAGCTTTGCCATCTATCGTACTCTACTGGAGAGCGTTCTGTTTGTTTTGCAGCATAATTAAATGTTGTCTTTAAGGAGTTCACTTATTGCTTATTTGCATTCTACAGTTATAAAAGGAAAATTGCTGTATTTTGTAAGCTTGGGCTCTACAGATCTGTAACAAAAGTGTGTTTATTTACTATATTTTGGAGAAGACTCTGGGGAGGCCTCATTGTGACCTTCCAGTACTTGAAGGGAGTGTATTCACGGAAGAAAGTACATCTGTTATCTGAGGGTAGATAGTGATAGGACAAGGAAGAATGGTTTTAAACTGAGACAGGGAGGTTTAGGTTAGATATTAGGAGGAAGTTTTTCACACAGAGGGTGGTGACACACTGGAACAGGTTGCCCAAGGAGGTTGTGGATGCCCCATCCCTGGAGGCATTCAAGGCCAGGCTGGATGTGGCTCTGGGCAGCCGGTCTGGTGGTTGGTGACCCTGCACGTAGCAGGGGGGTTGAAACTTGATCATTGAGGTCCTTTTCAACTCAGGCCATTCTATGATTTTTAGATAGCAGAAATGCATTTCACGAGGATGGAAAAAGGGTGCTATACTGTGCTGGAGCTCCTCTGTGTTTTGGAATGCCTCAGAGTGACACCCACAGTATTTTCATGGGAAAGCAAGTGCTATACCCCTTGTCCTCTCCTTGGCATTTGGTCTGCATAACAGTGTAAAGCCGATGACAGCATGAATCTCAAAAACAGTGAATATTAGTACATTATAATACTTCAATTGTTGTTTTAAAAGATTATTGACTATGAGAAATCTGTAATAAAATCATTCTTGTCATTCACTGCTTTTTAGAAGCACAAAGAACTAATGCAAATACCATTTACTTAAAGGCATGATTTTAAAGCATTTTTTATACTCTGTCAGCAATGAGGTCTGTATGTATTTTGTATGCAGGCAGATAATTTGCCCTAGCTTCATACAACATTAATTTGCTAAAAAAAAATGAAGTTATTGTTATATGGAATTATGTAGAAACACCAGGAAATCTTCAAATTGACAGAAAATAAAAGCACAAACCTGAAAAGTAGCAAGAAAATGAAGACAGGAATTCTTTTTGCTATAAAACTTCTGATGCTTCAACTGAGAAAAGAAAGAAGATAAAGAGTAGAGTTTATATATAGGATCATAGAATTATAGAATCATTAAGGTTGGAAAAGATCTACAATATCATCCAGTCCAACCATCTGCCTATCACCAGTAGTTCTCCCTTAAACCTGATATGTAAACATTCTTTGATTCCCTATTCAAAATCTTTGCAATTTCTTCAGAGATAATCTGGCCTTTTCACATAAGCGATGCTTGAGCATCATCCTCATTTCTTGAACAGTTTGTTTGACACACCATTAAATAGCAGTAAGAAAATGAAACTAAGGGAAAATAGCCCTGTATTTTTTTTCCCCACTGATTATTTTTCCTCCTTCGTGAAGAAGATAGAGATTTTTAAGGAGTTTATATCTTTTTAAGTGCTCCCAGAATTTTTAGGCTAATTTACTTTCTGATTAATTATCTTTAAGCTTCTGAGCAGCTACCTTGGTCAGTAATGTTTGTAAGCTGTGACTGCCAGCTCTTGTCACACCTGTGCCAAGTCAGCATGACAAACAGCATTAATAACTGAGTGCTGAAGCAGTCTGCATGGACATGCTCTAAAGCTGTTAAATCTGCTGGACGCTCAGAAAAATTTCACATTGAATATCTCAAAGGAATAAAGGGGAAAAGTAAAAGGAGTTTCTGAAGCTAAACAAATTCTTCCCAGTAAAATATTCACATAGCTTTGCCTATTCTTGGGAAAGGGTTAACAAACTCTGAACAAAAATATAAATAAAGTAGTATGAATTACTTCTGCTGTCTGATCCAAACAAGTAGAAAGGCCACAGTTAAAGCTACGTGCCAACATCCACATATTGAGAGTCAGAAGAGATTTTTCAGGTGCTCAGCAGGGAAGGACGGGTTGTCACCATGCTTTACACAGCATAGGAAAAGAGAAATGTCCCTGTGTCCTTTATTCATTCACTGCTCAGTCTTGCTCAGACATGTTCTCTAAGGCTGGAATATCAGGAGCTATTTGTCAACATCACCTTCTGTGAAAAGGCAGAAAAGGAGGGGCAGAAAGATCCCTGCTCTTCCTGAGAATGCTGGCAGCACAGTATTATACAGAGTAGAAGAAGCAATCTAGGAGGTTTCTGGAGTGGAAGATATAACATTCTTATGCAGCCGGTAAGAAAGCCTACCATGGCAGGTGCCCCACTAGACCTGCTGTTCACAAACAGAAGGACTGGTAGGAGATAAAGAGGTCAGCAGTGCTCTTAGGCAGAGTAATTACAAAATGGTTCACAATTCTTGGTGAAGTCAGGAGAGAGGTCAGCAAAACTGTTGCCTTGTACTTGCAGATGGTGGGCTTCAAACTGTACAAGATACTAGTAAGAAGAATCCCTTGGGCGTCTGTCTGGAAGGATAGAGGGGTCCAGGAAGGCTGGACGCTCCTCCTGAAGGAAGTCTTTAAGGCACAGGAGCAGGCTGTCCCTGAGCGCTGCAAGATGAGCTGGAGGGAGAGAAAACTGGTGTGGGTTCTGCTTGACCAACCTCATCTCCTGTGATAGTGGGAGATAATCATAGGAGATTCCTTTATCCACCTGGTGGATAAAGGAAAGGCTGTTGACATAGTCTACCTCAACTTTAGCAAAGTCTTTGTTCTTGTCTGCCGCAGTATTCTTCTGGGTAAGCTGGACACCCTGGACACATGTACTCTTTCTGGGTAAAGAACTGGCTGAAAGGCCAGGCCCAGAAAGTGGTGGTGAATGGAGTTAAATCCAGCTGGCAACCAGTTACAACTGGTGTTCTCCAGGGGTCAGTAGTGGGGCCTGTCTTGTTTAATATCTTTATTGATGATCTGGATGAGAGGACTGAGTGAACCCTCAGTAGGTTTGCAGATGACACCATGTTGGGAAGAGCTGTAGATCTGCCTACTTGTAGGAAGGCCCTGTAGAGGGATCTGGACAAGTTGGATAGATGAGCTGAGATCAGTGGGGTGAAGTTCAACAAGACCGACTGTAGGGTCCTGCATTTTGGCCACAACAGCCCCAGACAGTGCTGCAGGCTTGGGGCAGTGGCTGGAAGACTGTGCAGAGGAAAAGGACCTGGGAGTGCTGAGTGACGCTCAACTTGAACATGAGCCAGCAGTGTGCTCAACAGTCAAGAAGTATCCTTGGTATCCTAGTTTGTATCAGAAGTACTGGTCCTGCCAGCAGGAGGAGGGAGGTGATAGTCTCCCATTCAGCTCTGGTGAGGCAGCACCTTGAGTACTGTGTTCAGGTGCCTCTCTCAGTGAGAAAGACATTGAAGCCCTGATGCGTGTCCAGAGAAGGTCAACAAAGCTGTTGAGGTGTCTGGAGCACAAGCTTTATGAGGAGAAGCTGAGGGAATTGGGATTGTTTAGTCTGGAGAAGGGAAGGCTCAGGGGAGATCTTTTCGCTCTTTCCAAGTACCTGAGAGGAAGTTGAGGCGAGGTGGGAGTTGACAATTTCACCCATGTAACAATGACAGGACAAGAGAAAATGACCTGAAGTTGTGCCAGGGGAAGTTAAAGTTGGATATTAGGAATAATTTCTTAGAAAGAGTTGTCAGGCACTGGAAAGAGCTTCCCAGAGAAATGTGGATTCTCTGTCTCTGGAGACGTTGAAGATAAATGTAGATGTGGCACTAAGAGACATGTTTAGTGAGCAGTATTGTTCGTAGGTGGACTATGTGATCTTAGAGGTCTTTTCTAACATTAATGATTCTATCATTAAAGCGTTAATGGCAAGCACTTTATGAGCTTCTTTCCATGTGAAAATTTGCTACAAGTGTCTGCTTAACTCACATACCCACATGTAATATACTAGCTCAGACTTTCAAACAAGATAACAGTCATAAAATTTCCTGGTTTTTATACGATAACTCCAGTTTTTAGGCAAAAATTCCTTCAACCCAAATGAAGAATATCACGCATGACCCACACTTCAGGTCTGTTGGCTGATGACCTTCATCTTGCATTTTCTCTACAAGGTGCTAGCATAGAGCTGTCTTCTCTTACAAGGACACACTTCCCTTCTAAGCCTCAGATTTTCAGTCTATAGACATGCTAAAGGCAGCTCTTGGCTGTCATCACTCTAGCAGTAGTTCATATTGTATGTCAAATTTCATGCCTCTTAAATGTTATCTTGCTTTTAAATGAAGTGTTCACAAAAGTGGATATTCCTTCAAAA